AATGCCAGGCCATCCAGGAGAGATGGGACCACCTGGTCAGAAAGGACACCCAGGAAGTCCAGGAATTTCAGGGATGCCAGGTATCCTTTCTATGCTTATTTTTCTTACAATTTTTTTCTGCATTCGTTCCTTATAGTGACTCTGTACACTGTACCTAGGCACAAGCTTTGACTCTATCCCTTCTTTCAGCTAGTGTAAGTTTTCTCTTGTGAATTACTTCTAAGGGATGAGGGGTCTGGGGGCACAGAAACAGTGGTAACAGGATGGTCACATCTCACAGTTACGCAGATACAACTATTTTTGCCATGTAATCCTTTTTATATATAATTACTATAACATATTTGCTAGTATTTTATTGAGAATTATTTCATTTATATTCACAAGGGATATTGTTCCATAGTTTTCTTTTCTTGTGCTGTTTTTATCTGGTTATAGTATCAGGATAATGTTGGTCCTATAGAACGAGCTGGTTGTGTTTCCTCCTCTTGCATTTTCTGGAAGAGTTTATGAAGAATTTATATTCTTTAAGCATTTTATAGAATCTGCCAGTGAAGTCATCCGGATATGGGCTTTTCTCTGGGGAAAAACCTTACATTATTAATTCAGTTTACTCCTCTCTTATAGGTCTATCCAGAGTTTCTATTTCTTCTTGAGTCAATTTTGGAGATCTGTGTTTCTCTTAGTTTGCCTATGTTATCCAATGTGTTACCATAGAGTTGTTCATAATATTTTTCTATAATCCTTTTCATTCCATGGCTATTTTTATAGTTTATGTGTTTGGAATGAATATTCTAATAGTTTCTTCATGGCATAAAAACCTCACCAATCTCTCCTAGAGTAATAGCTTAATTGGAAAATTATCCTCTTATTCATAACACTGGGCTACTCTCATGTGCCTCTACTATTCTAGGGCACTAGAGACACATCATTGTACTCTCCCTACCAAAGCTGAGGAGCCACAAGAAGTACCATTTAAAATCCCAAACTTCAATATATTCTACTCTTATCTATAAATGTGATTTGCTACTAATTACTTCCATGTAGGTGAGGTTTAAAAAAAATCCACTGACCCATTTGTAGAAATCATCCCTTCCTTCCTTCAATTTTCAATCTCTACTTCTAAGTTTAATTTATTTTATTTTATGGAATAGTTTGCCTTTATCGTTCTGTGCAACATATGCTGATTTGTGTTCATTGTTTCCATAGGTGAAAAAGGAATGGTTGGGATGATGGGCTACCCAGGACTCATAGGCCCTCCTGGCATGCCTGGGAGTCCAGGCACCCCAGGGCAGAAGGGTAAGTGATGGGGTGTCTTTCTGGGTACCAAAGGAAAGAACAATGTTCTTTTTTTAAGCAACAAAATAAATGACATTTCATTCTTAGGAGGGTAAGTAGTTTTGAAAGAATGTATTCAAATTTCCTGTTTTCTATGTTCACTCCTATTTTCTCCCTGAAGGCTTACATCACTATCTTTATGTAGCTACCTGTCCATGAAAACTACTCATGTTCTTAGCTCTGTTAACCTTATTTGTTTGTTTTGTTCTGCTTTATTGCAAGAACTGTTAACTTTTAGATTTCTATGAACTACCTAAATAACTAAGAACCTGATGTTATTACTTTCTTCTATTAGGTAGCCTTGGAATTCCAGGAGTAAGCGGTACAAGAGGACCCCCAGGAGCCAAAGGGGAGAAAGGACAAAAAGGATACTCTGGGCCTTCTCGCTTGATTGAAGTAATAGGAGACAAAGGAGAACCAGGACTCAAAGGTAAATAATTTCTTCGGTTTAGAATCAGAACATCAGAGCTGATTCTAGACTAGCAAATTTTCTAGGCAAATCCCTCTAGTTGACAAATGAGGACAATGAAGACCAGTGTTTAGTTACCTGCCAAGTCATGGCCAGCTGGTTGTTGGTCCAGCACGAGCTAGAACTCAGTCGCCTTCCAGAATAGCGTGTTGGTTTCTTTTTTATTATTTTATTTTTATTTTTTTAAGAATTATTTAACTTTTTATTCATTTATTCATTCTTTTATTTTAATTTGACTAGAGAGGGACACAGCAAGAAAGAGAGAGAAAGAGAGAAAGTGAGAAAGCAAGTCACTAGATCCAGGACTCGAACTGTGGTCGCCATGTGGGAGTCCAGCACTTTTAACCATCATACCATCTGCCAGCCGGCTTCTTCTTTTGAAATAATTATTTAATTTCAGGGCTGGGAGGTGGCATGGTGGTTAAGGTGTTAGACGCTCACATAGCTGACTGTGGTTCAAGTCCCGGACCTGGGTGACTTACCTTCTCACTTTCCCTTTCTCTCTCTCTCTGGTCAAAGTACAAAATAATAAATAAAATTAAATAAATAATTCTTGAAACAAAGAATTATTTAATTTTATTTATTATTATTATTTTTTAAGTTGCTATAAAGCACATACACTCACCATAGACAGAGAGAGAGAGAGAGAAGGAAGGAAAGTGAGAAAGCAAGCCCTCAGGTCCAGGACTTGAACCACATTTGCCCATGTGGGAGTCCAATGCCTTAACCACAACACCACTTGTTGGCTCCTTAAAGCATTGTTTTATTCCTATGTCAATTCCACATTTGGTCTGTTGTATTTAAATTGTCTCAAGTCTATTTTGAAATCATAAGCCTTAAAACTCTCTTTGCCCATTATGGGAGAAGTTAAATCCTTGGAAAATTCTACATCAAAAAACTTCTGCTGAAATTAATATCTCCACCCCAAATACTACCTATTCTTTCCATTCAAATCAGATTAATTTTTCTGACTGCATCAAAAAACAACTTCCGGTACCAGCAGGTGGCGTGGTGGTTAAGGTGCTGGACATTCCCATATGGTCGACCATGGTTCGAGTCCTGAACCTGGTGGCTTGCTTTCTCACTTTCCCTCTGTCTCTTTCTCTCTGTGTCTCTTTCTGGTCAAATTAAAATGAATGAATGAATAAATAAAATTAAATAATTCTTAAAAAAAAAAAAAAGTCCTTCAAAAACCAATTTCCTGTGCTCCTTGGCTTGTTGAATAAGAATACCACTCCTTCCATGTGCTGTTTTCCTGCCTGGGAATTCTGTCCCATCCATGCTGTCTGCCCCTCCCCATTAGTTCTCATATTGTCTTCAAACGAAAAGAGCCCATCTTCTAGAAATTCTTTCCTGTAGCATACAGTTGTACCCAACTCTTGCAGAACTTATCTCACTGGGCAGTGATTGTTTGTTTACTTGGCTGTCTCCCTGTGAAATAGTAAAAACTTAGAGAAAGGGAACCTAATTTATTTATATCTTGTACTCGGCACAGGGCCCGTCAATTAGATCAATCCACAGACAAGTGAATGAAACAGGCGAAGGAAGTGAGTCTGCTTGAAAACAGCACACAGCCTGATCTTACCCAGGCTGTAGAGTGTCTCACGCAGCCAGAGGAGTTTGTAATTTACTCAGTAGACAACAGAGATTCAGTGAACATTTATGAGCAAGACAATATGATCAAAGCCATGTTTTAGGGAAAGTAACCTGTGTCCTGGGGGGTTTACAAGCTTTCCAACCATGCAGAACTGGGTTCAAATCCTGGTGTTATTTATTACTGATTGACAGTGTGACTCAAGGTAAAGCTATGGACCTAACTATTACATCATACATGATCATTTTAATAATTGAGGATGGACTTGTTTAAGTGAGGATAGTTTAGTAGATAGTGCTCTGTCTTCACTATAAGAAATAAAGAGGGATTTAGGTAATTAACTCTTTCTTTCTTTTTTTTTTTTTGGAGAGGTTTTTGCTATAGGGCATGTGTGCTCACCAGAAAGACAGAGAGACAGAGAGACAGAAAGCGGGAAATTACCCCTGGGAGGATGGCCATGCCACAATCCCTTTTCCTCCCTTCTCCTCTCAGGATCTTGGGCACGCACGCATACACCCCCAGCATGTGTTTAAGCCACCGCTTCCAAGACTTGAACTGTGGTCGACTACATGGGAGTCCAGTGACATAGCCATTATGCCATCTGCTGGTCCCCAAGGCCATTAACTCTGTTTTTTTTTGTTGTTGTTGTTGTTTTTGAGAGAGATTTTTTTGGCTATAGGGCACATGAAATCGCCAGAAAGACAGGGAGACAGGAAGTGAGAAATCAAGTCCCAGGGGGATAGCCACACCACAATCTCTTCTCCATTCTCATCTCAGGATCTTGGGCATGCACACACACATGCACCTGGCATGAGTTTAAGCCACTGGCTTCAGGACTTGAACCACGTTCGACTACATGGGAGTCCAGTGACATAGCCATTATGCCATCTGCTGGTCCCCAAGGCCATTAACTCTGTTTTTTTTTGTTGTTGTTGTTGTTTTTGAGAGAGATTTTTTTGGCTATAGGGCGCATGTGCTCGCCAGAAAGACAGAGACAGAGAGACAGAAAGCAGGAAATTACCCCCCAGAGGGGATGGCCACGCCGCAATCCCTTCTCCTTCTTTCTCCTCTCGGGATCTTGGGCACACACACACACACGCGCCCAGCGTGAGTTTTAGCCACCAGGTCCGGGACTTGAACCATGGTTGCCTACGCGGGGGTCCAGCAATATAGCCATTACGCTAACTGCTGGTCCCCCACCATTAACTCTTAAAAGGTTGTTTTGTAATATAAGTACTAGGGGATCAGCAGATAATGTAATGGCTATGTTGCTGGACCCCCGCGTAGGCAACCATGGTTCAAGTCCCGGACCTGGTGGCTTAAACTCACGCTGGGCGCGTGTGTGTGTGTGTGTGCCCAAGATCCCGAGAGGAGAATGAAGGAGAAGGGATTGAGGCATGGCCATCCTCCCTGGAGGGTGACTTCTCGCTTTCTATCTCTCTGTCTCTCCAATGAGCACACTGGCTCATAGCAAAAAATCTCTCTTAAAAAAAAAAAATAATTATTGTATAATTCTTGAAGTTTACTGAAGACTAAGTCATGCCTGACACTGGGCAACGCTTTATACATATCACCTCATTTAATCCATGTATAAGCCCATGTCATCCTATGCTCTCAGTAAATGCGTAATATGACATTTCAGTAATAGCCCATCAGTTTAAGCCAGGACGTGAATGAGACTGAAAACATTCTAACCTGTATTTTTAATTTTTTTCTTCTCCCATTCTTTATTTGATTTATTTATTCCTTGAGGGAAAGA